GCTTAGGGCAGAGCTTGCTCAGTAGGTTGGGGCATGAAGCTGTTGATATCATGAAACAGAATGAGCTTCCTGGGTTTGCATTGGCTGAGTCTCTCAGCCTGTGGTGCCAGAGATGCTGACGAAGAAGTGAAGGGAAACGAGCGTTGGTTCAAATTTGTTGCAGTATTTTTCGTTTGTTGTTGTGCTTAACACAGTGTAAGTACTTCTCCTTGTCCCAGACCTAAGCAGCTACTAGGTATTGCTTAGTATGGCTTTAGACTGGTACCTGCTGTGACCCACCGTAGCACCATATAGTAGCAACTGTCACTGATTAGGCTGATATACCATGCCAGGAGACTGACTATTAACCATGGTTTATCAATGTTGTAAGGTAGGTATCTTTGCTCCTGTTTCCTATATGAGGAGGCCACATGACTTGCCTTTCTCCCAGCTGGCTCTTTCTCTGACTCTAACTGCTGGGTGACTGTCTCCCTTAGCCTTATTTCCTGTATGTAGAAATTGGGTCATATTTGTACACAATGTTCTGATGGTGATGTTTTTCAAATTGTAGTTCTTGGTGCAAAAGTGGGTTGCAAAATCTATTTAATAGATTTAAAAAAAATAGAAAATATCAGATATATCCCACTTCTATTCTAAAACTTCTGCTTCTGATATGTATGTGTGCTGTTCATCTATGCATGTTTTGTATGTGTATAGGACCAGTGAAATATTGCATAGGAAAATACAGTTCTTATTTTATTTCAAATTACTATTCTAGAGTTATTAGAAATAAGCCAATATTTAAATAAAAGGTTCTAGGACTTTTTGCAAAGTTTCCATCACCCTGTAAGTCTGAGTTATCATATTAGTTGACACTAGAAACTGAAGCAGGGAGGGCGGAGCAGTGATCGTATGCTATTACTACAGCCTTACTACAGCCATGGGATCTGTGTTGATCCCGCTAGCCTGACACCACACACATCCTGTCCGGTAGAACTGGGCTCAACTTTGACTTTCTTTCCTCAATACAGCACTCCAGCCCTCAACCATAACCAGGTTGCAAACCCTGCTGTAGGCTTACAGGTACTTGGAGGCCCTCATGGAAGTCTGTGGTTAGAAAGAATTCAGAACTTAACAAAGCCCTGATTTTTATTCCAACTCAAGGAAAACAGATGTGACCCCTTTGCAGTATGAGGCCCTTTCTTAATAGGCCCTAAAGGGTTTGGTTGCTGTTTAGCCCCTTGTGATGCTCTCCATATTATAATCCCAGTCTTCTTCTGGAAATGATTCTTTCCCCCAAAGGGTATCAGATATAGACTGTCTAGCTACTTTCCCTTGAAATAAAGATGACAAGAGTCCCTCTACCATGCCCGTTTTCCACTGAAATATGTTCTTCACTTGCTAATTATCATCCAGTTGCATAGAGCATGGATAGAGATTCCCAGCAACTTCCCTGTGGCATATGCCTTAGGAGGTGCACTGACTCTTGGTGTCCGCAGCCCCACTGCAGGGTCGCAGAAGGAGCCAGTCTTCTTCCCAGCACAGGCAGGTCTCTTCCTCTGCATCCCTGAGTCACGCCTCCAGAAGTACAGAAGGCAGCTGTACTTGCAGTGGTGGCAGGCACCACAGCAGAGTAGCTCATATGGACTCAGGGTTCTGAAAGTCATGTGCCCATGCAGAGTTCAACACTGTAGAAGCATGTGTGTGGATTTTAAGACAAGACACAACATGGCATTCCAAGCTGTTTGAGGAAGAGCCCAGACAGTACAATTAACAGAACAGAAGGCAGGCTCAGTGCTTTCTGGATCTCACTAATGAAGGAGTCCCATGGCTTACCCTGCCGGCCCAGCTTCCCAGCACCCTGCCGGCCTGCTTCCCACACATCTGTCAATCCATCAAGCTATAACCCATGGCCGCTGCCAGCAGAGACTTAGGTCTAGGCCTTTCTCTCTGGAATGCACAGAGATCCCAAGTCATTAATAATTCACTCTGGCGTAATGAACAAGTTATGAGCCAAAATCATCAGGTGACAGATCAATTTGTTTCCACAGTGCCCAGATATAATGCTGGCAATGAGAAGGTGCAAGCTTGTCGCCGAAAAGTTTCTCAAGACTTGGATCAATGTGTCTTAAGTTTCAGAATAAAATGGATCATTAAATGGGAAATGAATTTGTTGCGTAGCCCCAAGCCTATTTATATTCAGAGTTGCCAACCCAGAATTACTGTACTGTTTTTTTCCGAATACCTTTGGGCCTCAGGGCCTGCAAATCAGAGTAATTATTAGTCATTAATTAAATCTAAGAAGTAGAACACAGCTTGAGATTTTGAAAAGGGAGGCTGGGATAGTTCAGGTATAATTACTCCCATATTGTTGATAATAATTAGAAAAATTTCAGCTGGGCTGAAAATATGAGTTTTACATGTACCAAGAAGTTCCCATCATGTTTTGGGTTTCATTCTACTTGTCACTGGCTTTGTCAAATTCAATACCTCAGTCTCTGTGTTCATTATAATGGTGGAAACATAAACACTGAGTGAGGACCTCAGAGGCAGGCCAACTTGTCTGCTGGAGTCTGGGATGGAGGACCAGGAAGAAACCAATGCAGATGCAGAAAGCAAGGGTACCATGTGAGCTGAGCCTTACAGAGAAAGTTTGTGAAAGACAGAAATAACAGGAACAAGAGGAGAAATCTGGGAACAGAAGAGGGGTGTGGGGGGAGTAGGGAGTAAATCATCCCCATCACTATACCTCCCGTGCATGATCCATCCAACCCACACCACACACCATGAAGTGGATGTGCTATCCACCCCTATGGCTCCTTTTCAAAAAGAGGAGGGACCCATGTTCGATGAAGTAAGTTGTCATGTGGGTTGTCAAGTGACCCACAGCCGTGAGGTAGCAGAAACTTAGAAATGAGTTGGGAGGAAGGTGTGCTTCTTACGTGAGTATCCAACTTCAGGTATAGCCCAAAAGAGCACTTGCCTAGTGCATCCAAGGCCTTGTACTGCACTCTCGACTCCAGAAAGCCAAGAAAAATAACAGGGACCAACCATCAAGTTTCATTGTCAGAACAATTAAACATGAGAAAAATTACTAACACTTCAGAACTGTGACATTGTGCTCTCTCCAGGACCAGCAGAGATGTGAGAATGTCCTCTTCAGCAGATGAGGGACATCAGAGTAGGCTCCCACACCTCAACTAATGGTGGCAATCAGGGAAAGCTGGACACAGGTGGGAGCTGGGGGCTGGCAAGGAGGCTTTTTCTATAGTCAGGGAGAGAGCAGGAAGGTCTGGCAGTAGCAAAAGATGATGATCCCAACTTATGTTTTTATATTGGTTTGCAACTCAAAAGTGTTTTCAGCCATGAATAGCTTGTTGATTTCATTTTCCCAAGGAACTTTTATGCAAACAGGAATAAGTCTAGTAACATAACTCTTTTGGGAGAAGTGTCATCCCTGAATTCCTCTCTCGTTCATGACCTGATGGGGAAAGTGATGATGGAGAAGCAGTCTGAGCCCGAGAGTGTGCGAGCTTAGCTGGTGGTCCCAGCCCTGGCCAAAGGCTTTCTCCTCTACCACGTCCCCATTAACTCTTTCCCGTGGACAGTGTGTTGTAGTTCTGGGCAGAAAGAGAAAGACACAAGGAAGCCCAGGGGACTAAGGCAGAGCTAACAAAGTGTTTATAAAATATCCTTGTATGGGCTAGAAGCAGGCCAGACTTCTGTAGCAACACTCTCTGCTGTGAGAGTTGCCTCCGGACAAGAAGCAAACCCTCTTGCTCACTGCACTTAGCCACAGTCACAGCCCCATAGCCCTGAACACACCTGACGTCTTTCAGAGAAGGAAGTTAACTTGATGTCTCAGTCTCAGAACCTTGAAGAAAAGCATATATTAGATGATAAAATTGGTTGAAGTGGGGTTTCAGTAAATACTCACTTTAAAAACAGACATTTAAGGCAGGTGACGCTCTTCTCCTATATAATGGAAGTCTACAAGTGGAAGAGTCACCATCGATGGGATTGTATGAAAGACACTAAGTGTAAATAGCACTAAATGCTGGGGAGGCCAGTCCATGGAAACTCTGTACCCAGATTTCTCTCTAGGTTCAAGTTAGTAGTGAATAGCTTCCTTCTTCTAGCAGGTGGGTGACTAAGGACACTTCTAGTATTTTCTAACAGTGCTGAATGGTGTGTGCTTGTTTATTGTCAGTAAGTCACTCCTAAGTTTTTATTCAAGGGACTGCCTATGAACCATTGAGCTTTATAGTTTGGACATGGGGTTCAGATATACGTATTTTGAATAGTTTTTTTTTGCCTAAAAGTATGCATGTGTACTTAACAGATTATTCTGATCTAACCACTGCTGACCTCATGTCTCCTTTAAAATCTGAGTGTTAGTGCAGTATAAACATTTGGATATACAGTAGTGTGCTTTTTATTTCTGACGATGCCACGTGTTTCACTTAGTGTGAGCCACATGTTTGATCAAATGGGCTTTTAATACTTGGTGTTGAGAGTACCGAATTCCCTGACATGGCTTAAATACCAGCTCTTTTTCCTTTTGATAAACCGTGTCTATTTTGTGCTCTTGTGTGCAAACGAATTAAAACCAGAAGCTTCTTGACCTGCATTGGAGACAATGCAGAGGGGAAAATCCTCAGTGGTTGAAGCAGCAGACAGGTGAAGAAGTTGTAGCCAAGAGGGTGGGACAGTTACCTAGACTTAAGAGAGCAGTGACTTGGGTGTGCAGAGTCATCATCTGGCTGATGGCATTGACTAGGTGGTTGGTTGATTGGCTGTCTGCAGAAAAATGGAAACCAATCCTTAAGTGAATGCTAAATGCAGGTCTGTGAACACTCCAGTTGAAGATACAAGAGAAAAGCTGCTCTTTAACTCATGGCATCCAAGGATGTCCTGGGTCCTGCTTACTATAGATGCAGGTAGGAAGGCCGAAAATACCCAAGGAGGTCACTCATCTCTGTGCATGGCTTCTCTTACTTGTTCTTTCTTCCCATTTCCAGTGTTGCTAACAACCACAAGCAGAATTTGATGACTGTGGCAAACCTTGGCGTGGTGTTTGGACCCACCTTGCTGCGGCCTCAAGAAGAAACGGTGGCAGCCATCATGGACATCAAGTTTCAGAACATTGTCATTGAGATCTTAATAGAGAATCATGAAAAGGTAACACATAATGGGGCCCTTGCAGTAACGAATTGAGTTGTTTAGCTGTGCAGGTGGGGGTAGCGGTAACAAACTGAGTTGTTGAGCTGTGCTGGTTAGCTGTGCCAGAAGGGGTGCGTTGGAACTGACCTTCAGAACTGATTAGGTTTGAACCATGCTGATGATGAGGTTGCTGACTGTCATGGTCATGGTGGTGATAAATGTGTGAATACTGGTAGAGGTGACAACAGTGGCCATCATGGTGGCTATAGAGGTGTGGGGATGGGCAGGAACTCATTGAGCTCTTGCTGAACACTCTGTTACTATTTTCTCTTCAACAATCCAGAGAAGGGGTGCTATTATGAGCTGCATTTTAGAAAAACCCTTTTACTTTTTGTTTGATTATCTTAGAAATTTATGGGTTTGTTTCAGTTTGGTATGTTGAACTTTTCCATTTGTGTGGCAAGTATTTTTTTTCTGTAGTCTGAATTTTGATTATATAGATAGTACATGTTTTTATACATATCTGCATCCATGTGTTCATGCACATGCATCCATATGTGCTTATATACCTGTGGTCTTTGCTTTGAAGGCACTGAAGTGGATCCATAATTTTTTAAATATATTTTCTCTTAAAAATATACAAGGATATGCAATGTTTTTCCTCTCCAGCTCTCACTGGACTCCTCGTGTTTATCCCCTAATACCTTCATGCGTCCCCCTTTAAATTCCCATTGAATCCAGTCACTCATTGCCTGTATTCACATGAGTATGACACTATTCACTAGCTCATCCGAAGTCTCCAGTGGCCACAACCCTAAAGAAAGTGTCACTGTTCTGACCTCTTCGATGTTGGCATTCAGATTGAGTCCCATGATTAAATATTGATGACTTTGTAAGAGAGAGATCAGAAGACAGAAAGGCAGATAGTCTGTCTCTCTCTGTCTCTCTGTCTCTCTCTCTGTCTTTCTCTCTCTCTCGTCCACACCTCTGTCCCTCTCTATCTATTTCACATACCTTCACCCTCATATTTTACAGTCCTGTACCTCAACTTGCAGTAAGGCTGTAATCAGATGTGGTTTCTTGGTTCTGTACCTCCAGAACTGTGAACCAGATGAAGTTTCTTTTCTTCAAAAGTTACCTGGTCTTAGATACTTCACTCTTGTAATGTAAAATGAGCTAATATAGTCTATACATATTCCAAATATTTTAATAAACATATTCCAGAAATATAATCTTGTTAAAAACTATCTCATTTTCACTTTCAGCTTATTCACAAGATAGATATTCTACTAACGAGTTTTGTAGCCACCATCACACTTAGTTTTCCTAGGAAACCTATATGGGCAATAAATATTCAAAAGAAAATTTAACATCTTTATCCATCAGCAGAATTAAGACTGGTTTGAGGGTGTATGTCACCAAGTCAGAATGACTATCATCAAGAAAACAAGTAGCAAGAAATTCTGTCAGGGATGTGGGGGGAAAACACCCTTATACACTACTGATAGACATGTCCACTGCTGTAGCCAGTATAGAAATCAGTAGATGGTTTCCTCAAATGCCAAAAAATATTGTCATTCCACCAAGGATTAAATATCTGGGACTCCACCTGTATTATGTGGCCATTAAAGAAGAGCAGAAATGAAAGTGTTTGAGTTGAAAGCTCACAGAGTAAGGATTTTGGCTCTCTACCATGCTTACTTTAAAGTAATGGTTATTTCTTTTAAAATTTCCAACTCTGTATGAGTAGAATTCTACCCCCCCCAACTCACAGTTTAATCACCTTAAGGCTTAAACTATCAAGTAGACAAATACTTAGGATTATAGTGGAAATAAAAGTCATTTATATTTAGAAATGAAAATACAAAATATTATTTCTATTATCTAAAATACCCAAGAGTTCCCAAAATTTTACCATTTCTTCTAAAGTTTTTCTGATAATTACTTTGTGAAAGGTTAATTTGTCAGCATTTTGATGTCAAGGACAAACAACCTTCTTAAGAAAACACTGCCTTCTTATGCCTTTGGTTAAGCCTGAAGCTTCAGACTTGTGTTCGTTACACTCTAACTGTCCAGCACATACTAGCAGGGCTCATGCCTTAGGCTCTGTGACAGTGTATGACATTCCTTTTGGCTGCCGCTCTGGTGAAGGTTTCTGGAGGAAAGGCAGGACTTCTCTGTGTACTCACGCCTGCGAGTGGTATGCTGTGTCATCTTCACCCTCCAAACCTATTAGTGTCTGTAAGTTGTGAGAGTTACCTTGCAGCCCATCAGTGGGCTTTAGGGGAGATAAGAGAATAGATCTTTAAACTTCTATCTCTCAGAAATGTATCCTTGTCAACAACTGTTAACTCTTAATCTCATGTGCCAAAGAGATAAACTAGCAACCATTTTGGTGACCTTACTGAATTCCAGAGTTATAAGAACTCTAGCTCTGTGCAGCCTGTATTTCCAATGAAATGAGTCATCCTCCATGCAGTTAGTGAGATTCGAGTCCATTTGGTACTCAAATCTTGCTTTCATTTGCCTTTGCAAAAAAATATTGAAGGCACCCAATTAGTTGTACTACTGTTTGACTTTGCACACAAAATTTATATTAATTAATATGCAGTTGATTAATCTGCAACTGGCAGGCGTTTGCCATTTGCTTTTATTTTCTTAGTATTTCACATTTGTTGATACTCAAAATTTACACGAATAATGATAACGTGTGCCTGGATTCACTGAAGCCATCTTTCTGTTCCCTGAGGAAGCAAGACAGCTGGACTTGGGCAGTGGGATGCAGCGCCTCTGCTCTCTCTTAGAACATTTCCCTTCTCCCAAGGGCTCTGTAGCATGCTGTTTCTTAATGTAGTAAGTTTATCAATCTGAGTGCATAATTACCCTATTTAACTTTAGGTAAGCTAGTAATCCTTTGTATTGGGAAGCTCCTTTAATACCCCTCCAATGGGACTGTAATTTGCTGTGGCTTTGTATATAGTTCCTCTCTATCAACAGAGGCAGCGGGAAATAAGCTCTTTCTGGAGATAGGGAAAATCACAGCCATGCCCCTGCCGCATGTTCCCTTATGTGTGTTTTTAGTTACTAAAGATAATTGGTTCCTTTTGAGAGGTTTTAAGTAAAAGTCCCCAAATTACTTTCTAAATTGTTGATCTCTGCTAAAACTCTGATAGCAACAGAGTCTGGGATTTCCAACTGTCCTTTAAAAACAAAACCTCTCTGTAGCTGCCGCCTCAGGATTTGGCTTCTTTGCTGTTAATGACAAGCCCTGAGGTGGCCTGCCTGACTCACAAGGTTGCCCTATGCAGGGTGCCTCACAGATCCAGTGAGCAGAATGACTGAGGCCTTCCCTCCCTCAGCTGGATCCCTGTGACCTAAGACCCGGAGGGATTTGTGTCTCAAGAACCATCCTCAGTCTCAGTCCTTAACTAACCTGCTGTTTGCATTGGGTGTGATTTATTGTCCTCCCAGTTCCTTTGCAGCTGTAGACTCAGAAGCTCTTCCTCATGACCTCATTTTCCTCCTATAAACATCACGGCGCATAATAAAGAGTACTGGGCACACTTTATAGAGAGACTCCTAATCCTTTTAAATTGCGGGTCATGGGACAGCTGGGATTAGAAAAGGTGTAAAGATGTATGTGCTAAGAACATACATTTTAACATGTTGTGTTAAGAACAAATTCCGGAACAAGTGTCAGGGCTCCACACCATCAAGATGGGTCAGAAAGGAGCCCGACTCCCTAAACTCTGTAGGTACCACAGGGCAATAGAGAACATCAGATACTAACATTGCTTCAGGTAGTTAATGCTAATATTTTGCAAAGAATGTAATTAAATTTATACTTACAAATTGAATTATCGTGTCTTGACTGCAAATAATTCCTTTTCATTATCCACTTATTTCCTTCTTAAATTCGATGTGTCTCCTTTTTCTACTGAATACAGTGTCTTTTTCTCAGCAAAGGCCAAACCACTAAGTGCCTTAGCCCTCATCAAGGTCCTGGGCCTTGTTGTGAAGGGGATGTTTGGCGATCGGAAGCTTACATGATTTGCTCAAGACCTAAAAAATGCCTGAAATCTGATCTGTTGGTCCACAAAACTTGTGATCTTTATGTTTTGACATTTGTTTCTCAATAACACACAAGACCCAGTTAGCTAAGCCTCCTCAGTCAGGCAGGCTATCTAGGTCCTTGTCTAGCCAGCTGTGTGACCTTGAACACATCAGTTAATTTTAGTGTCAATTCTTCATCTACAAGATGACAATCACTGCGTTTCCCTTATAGAGTTGTGAAGGAAATAATTTGTGCCTTTAATTCATATAGCTATAACTGCATGAGAAGCAGTGAATTTTAGTTGTCATTTATACTACCGCGATTCCTGCCTGTGCTTTTACCAGTGTAATGTTACACATTTTGTGTCCTTTATCTGAGGTGTAGTGTGATCACATTTATAAAGGAAACAGGCTCAGAGGAGCTAAAGACCTTGCCGGAGATAATCCAGCTAGTAGGTGGAAAAGCCAGGATTTGAACTCAGGGCTGTCTAGCTTCAGAGCTTGTTCGCTTTCCCCCCATCTCATCCTTCAAATTACTTTTATATTTGATATGATGATATGGCAGTAAGGTAACTATCATGGATTGGCGGTGGTGTATGAGTGTCCGTCAAGACTTAGTGCTTACCCGAGACAAGCCAACCTCAGAGACCAGCGCTGACACTCTGCTGCCTGGCTTGAGGAGAAGCAGCCTGGTGTTTATGGCTGTGTTAATTCCACTAACAGGGAACTCGGAATTGGGGATACTTGGAAAGGTTCCCTGCAGTTGTATTTTTATTTTATAATCTTATTCTCCACTGACTCCCAGCAGGGTCACAGTCTTCCGGGCTTTTATGTGTAAGGCATTCCTGATTAAGTTGGAATTAGTTCGTTAAGTGAGGCCGCCTGAACAGGACACTTGGGGCACAAAAGAAAACTCGCCTCTTTGTGTTAATTTGGAAAGTCTCTGTGAAATGAGTACATTGTTCCCACCGCATGGTAGAGCTTGTAGATTATATGAGTTAATGCTTGTAGATTACAGGGTCCTTTGTGCGACAGTCTTCACAACCCAAAGAAAACTTTGTTTGTGCAATAGAACTGGAGTAACCAACAGAACTGTGTAATTCAGATGCATCAGAATTCCAGCTTAAATTCTGAGCACAGACAAGGCTTGGCACGGTCAGAGGTGGCTGGAAAATCCGCTTGCCTGTGTAGGAATTTCCAAGTTACATGAGCAACAGTCATGTCGGTAGTTATTCCCACATTCCTGCTCTGTGTCCTAGGCCTTGAACTCACTGTGTAGCCCAGCCTTGACTGGAACTTGCAATCATCCTCCTGCCTGAACCTCCTGAGTATGTAGATTGGTCATGTAGCACCATGGCAACCCCGACTTCCTATTGAATGTCTGCATCAAGGTGGCTTCCCTTGCAAAGGTGCCCTCACGTTTAGAAAAGCTCTTGCAGCCAGGATGTGTGGGCCTGTAATCTGGCACTTGATGTTTTGCAGTGTGCTCTTGTGCACAAAGTATTGCATTTGATCCCAAGAACAGCCTGACAGAGTTCTCCAGAAGCCTGTGCCTGCCTCCTAATCAGACCCAGAGAACTGGCCTTTGGGCTGTTGTGCCTACCCATGGTGACAGTTCCCTTATAAAGCTGTCCCAGTCTGTTCTCTTAACTTTTAGAGAAAACAATGGATGAGGAGGGAGAGATCCTCCTTCATGTGCTCCCATGTTACTTCCTGCTGTGTTTGCGGGGCGGTTTTTCATACATCTCTGTGTCTAACTTGATATCTACTACAGTTCTAGAAAGAATAGACGTCTCGGTGTTGTGTCAGCTGAAGTTCAAATGCACATTTGCTGTCTTTCCCCTTGCACTGTAGTGGACAGCAGATGATCCCTCTTCCTTAGGAAGAAAGACAATATCTGGAGGCCAGAGGCAAAGTTGGGAAGGTACTAGGACCTGGCCTGTCCTTAACTATGGATTCATTTCTCAATGCTCTCATCAAGGGATTGCTAAAGGTACTGCATTCTGGGCCAGAGGCAGAAGGATGCTAAGAGACACCAGTACTTGTTAAAGAATTCTCTATTCTCATGAGACTGAGACTGGTTTCTAAAAGAAGTTTGGCTGGAGAGGATGAACTGACTGAATGGCTGGCTGCTGCAACCCCAGGGCTTCACTTCTGGTCCATGTGGCCTCATGGGGGTCAGGGGCAGGGTAGGAGATGCTCTTGTGAATGGTCATGTTGTGCCCTATGCTGAGTGAACCTGCAGTTTAGGGAGGAGTCATGTGAGATGCCCGGCTCAGAGCTCAGCAGGCATAAGCACACATGTCTAGGAGCCATTTTTAACTGTCAATGATACTGCTTAATGAGATGTCACCTCAGAGTGGCCAAGGCTCGGTGTGGTTGGGGGAACAAAGTCAAGGGGAAGGAAGCTTCTTAGAGGGTGCATACTTGGGCTCAGTGCTTGTAATGATAGGAGCGGTGGGCTGCATCCCCGCCGGGATCCTGGCTCCCCGGCTAGTTTACACCAGAAATAATTACACAGAAGCTGTATTCTTTTAAACATTGCCTGGCCTGTTAGTTCTAGCCTCTTATTGGTTAATTCTCACATCTTGATTAGCCCATTTCTAATAATCTGTGTAGAACCACAATTACCGGGAAAGATTCAGCATGTCTGACCTGGTGGCTGATTCCATGGCATCTGCCTCATTGCCTTCTTCCCAGCATTTTGTTCTGTCTACTCCACCCACCTATGTTCTGACCTATCAGGCAAAGCGGTTTCTTTATTAATTAACCAATGAAAGCAACACATAGAAAGAAGACCCACCTATACCAAGTGCTAGCCACAGTCTTTCCATTTTCTTCCACTACAAAGGCTCCAAGAGATTGCAGAAGCGAATAGCATCAGTCAGCCTATCGTCAGGGCTTCTGGCTGCCCTGGAGATGAAGATTTCTTTTTCTTTTCCTTCAGGTCTCCATCTCCCACCCCCTGTCTCGGTTGATCTCAGCTCTATCCAGCCACTCGGTTTATCTTGTTTCAAGTTTGAATCTACTAGGGAACGTGGAATAATGCTACCTTCCTCCCGACAGCTGTGTTTGGGAGTGAGACTGGCTCAACCGGCTGGCTGGCATCATCAGGACCACGGACTTGCCAACCCAAGGAGAGCAGCTGTTCCAGCTGAAGCTTTCATAATTCTTGTGACTTGGCTTTCTACATATCAGCTTTAGGGAGTCGCTTTAAAACACACACACAAAGATGAGAGCCATACGAAGAATAATTATGGGATACCCTGAGCCATAAGTTAAGGGATGTCGTTCTCTTGTGTCTTGTGACTGCTGGAAAGAAGGCATCCAGGAGATTGATGTCTCAGTGTGAGGGAGGACACCAAAATAGTCCATCTTAGTCTCTCAGTAAAGTTGAGAAGGTTATGAAATCCTTATGAATCATCTTTGAAGATTTTTCTGTGACAGAGAGACTAGCACCATATTATATTATATGAGATAAGCAGGATGTAAAACTATGTGAGGAATATACCCTCAGCTGTGGAAAATGTGGTTAGCATTAGAATCGCACAAAGCTCTCAGCTCCAGGGCTGGGGTGGCAAACACTTAGTAAATCACAGCTACTGGAATGGAAGTCCTCTGTCCATCGGGGACACGTTTGTTTCGTTCACTGTCACACTCAGGGTGCCTCTGTAAAGTGGGTGTTCAAATAAGCTGCAGATTGTTCAAATGGGTGTTATTATCATACACATTCACAGAGGAGTCTAGCAACAAAGGGCCCTGTGTTACCTTGCTATCTTCCATAATTATATCTATCCATGTGACAGCTACATTTCCGTATGCTTTGGTTTTTTTATAAAATGCCAGGACATTAGCAGCTATGCAGAGTTGCTGAGCACTGAGTGAACTGCTTGTAAAACATAGGGTGCTGCGGCCAGCACCCCAGGAGCTATAGTAAGTGGCAGCAACGTCCGCAGTAAGCACCATGTAAGTGCTGGCTATAGAGATAAGGACATTCTGTAGTAAGGCATGTAGGAATTGGTAAGGTTTTTGTCTCACTTTTTTACCTTGCTGTGATTTGAGTGTGCAGTATTCTCTGTGGGTTTGCATTTGAAACTCTTATTTGAGGAGTCCATGGAACTTTTGGGAGGTGGGGCAGAGCTGGGAGAACTAGTCACTGGGGGTAGACTTTGGGATTAATAGCCAAGCCCGTTTCCTCCAGTCTCTCGGATTTCTGAGCCATTGAGATCTGAGCAAGCTGCCTTGTGCTCCTGCTGCCAAGGCTGTGAGCCACTCCTTTGTAGGAGGCCACGCCCAAGTGGGCGGGTAGCTTAAAGGCTACTGGCTGAAGGATTCCCTGCAGCACTCCCTGCCTTTTTGAGTATAATAAAGTGTTATTTATTTAGGGGTAGACTCACAGATTAGAGCAAGATTCATACCAATGCAAATCTCCAAAGCACACTCCCATCAATATGACTTCCAGACTATAATAGGCTGCGTCCTTCCCTCACACCCACACTATGATAGACTTTCCCTCAAGCCCACACTAGGATAGACTCTTCCCTCACACCCACACTATAACAGACTTTCCCTCACACCCACACTGTGATAGACTCTTCCCTCACACCTACAATACGATAGACTTTCCCTCACACCCACACTATGATAGACTACACCTCTATATCACAAGCCAAACTCCTTTAAGTTGCTTCTTGCCTGGAATTTGTCACAGCAGTTAGAAAAGTAACGACTACACACATTCTTCAATAATAATTACATCATTTTTAAAATTCTTTTAAAGTCACAAAACCTAACTCCTAACAGTTATAATCTGTAAATAATAGAACTGTGAGGTTTTCTTTTAGACTTTTCTACATTTTCTAAATTTGTATATACATACATGCATGCATGTGTACGTGCGTGCATGTGTGCGTGTGTGCCTGTGTTATCAGGGTCAGCCACCTCTGTTCTTTGAAATAAGGTAAAGCACACCTTCACAGATAACACAAAGCCACTGAAGGAGGAAGGCGGTTTCCACTGAGGATGGTGGGGGAGGAGGACAATGCTTCCTGTTCTGTGTCAGTTTGCGAACATTATTTAAATTTCTTTTATGGTCTGAGATAAAATCGTGAAGCAGTTGTAAATAACTGGGGAGGAGAGCAGATGAAGGAAGGAAGGGCATTTGGATTAATTGGCTCTGGATAAAGACAATAAAACCCTTCCCTGTTAGCGGACAGGGGTTTAGATGGTCTCTGTTGTTTTCCATTCCCCTTGCTTAGCTCAGAGGAGATCCGTAAAGACCATGGTGGAAGGGACTGAAAGGGGAAACGAACTCTTGCTCAGTTCTTGGAGAAAGTTCTCAGTACCGGTTCCTAGAAGTTTCTCAGTGGAGGCCTCCGATGCTGGCGGCCTTTCTCATCTTTACTTTCTGATTCTAACTCACCACCAAGCTCCTGGTCATGATTCAGGCCTGTGCTTTCTTCCTAGCTAATAGAAATGTATAACCTTTTTGTCATCCTGCTATGCAGATATTCAACACTGTGCCTGATGTGCCCCTCACCAACGCCCAGCTACACCTCTCCAGGAAGAAAAGCAGCGACTCCAAGCCCCCATCCTGTAGCGAGAGACCCCTGACGCTCTTCCATGCTATTCCTTCTACAGAAAAACGTGAGTCTCTGCGGCCCAGGGCAGGGTGGTATGTGGAGACATCCCTACTGCCTCCATGGCTTGCTGTGGACATCCTTGTTGTATGCTTCTGGCCTTTGGTATCCAGAAGACTCTGTGTCTTGTTGTGTCTTGCCTGATTCCACCGCTGAGAAAGAAAGGCACAGGTCTCTGGCCAAGAAGCTGAGCCTCCTCTCCCTGCTGCACAGCAAGATCTGGGCTCTGGCATCACCCAAGGTCCCTCCTTTGTTGGCAGGTCTCATAAAAGCAGTTCCTTTCCCTGACTCAGTTTGGAACTATTATTGGAGGGAGTCACGTGTTCGACTAGGCTGTGCCTGTAGGGAAACAGAGCCTTCTGCTTACTTTTAAACTCTTTTCTGTGTTGACACTTTAAAATATTTGGAATTAGTTCCTGAATTAGAGAGTAATTTCTCTGTATTCCAAGTAGAAGAGAACGCTCACCATAAATGTTCCAAACCTTTTCATCTCAGGACTTCTGAGTTCTTTCAGTGATCAAGGCCCTAAAGTATGCAGTCATATTTCAACTTTTGTGTCCTGGCAGTCAGGAGGCAGAGGGCAGATGCAACGGGGGGGGGGGGGGGGGAGGGAGGAATTCCTGCAAGTCTGAGGCTAGCCCAGTCTGCATAGCAAGTTCCAGGCTAGCCAAAGCTACATAGCACGAGCCTGTCTCAACACAAAAAATAAACAATTCATCTGTCAATCTGCTTATATGTTATAGGAATAAAGGCCTCACGACCTACTGGAGGTCACCCAGTATTGGTTCTTATACCATCTTCACCGCATGACCAAATTCTTACCTCTTTCATCCTCAGTTTGCTTATCTGTAAAGCAGGCACAATAGTGCTCACCCCAGAGGAAAGACTTGAGGATTGACAAAATTATGCATTACAGCATCTGGTATAAAGCTGCTATACACAGACGCCAAGACTGGTTCCAACATGCAGCGGACATTTACATGGTGCCTTCATGGTCTAGGGATATGAAAATGAGACCTTATCTGTAACGAATCAAACTTGAGTGAGAAAATCAGTTCAGTGTTTGCAACTAGTTTCGTGGAGAAATGCATATAAAGAGAAGTCGAACAGTGTCCTAGCAAAAAGCTCTGACTTGCCCCAGTGGAAATTCTGCCTTCACGTAAGACCGTGGATGACTTTTGATATCTTAACATTTCAGGACCGCCACCTGCTATTCTTGATGTTAGGGACAGTAGTTTTCCAGGATCTTTTTATGGTCAGGGACTGGCTCTAAAATGTAGAGCTACACTTGAGTATCTGTAACAACAGTCTTGTAGGAGTTGAGCTCTTTTGCACGGCTTAGGGCTGCCGTGAAAATTAAAGTGTGTCGAATGTTCTGGGACATCTTGGCGTGTTCTCAGTACATGCTTGGGGTGATGATGATGACGACGACAAAGACAGATCTGTGTGAACTCCAGCAAAGGCACAGAAAGGAGAGGGACCTACTTTACCTTAGGGAGGAAAGGATTCATATCTTCATTGTGTGTTGCTTTCCCTTTGATGCCCTTTTATATTGTAAAGTAAAGACCTTCTTTACCATAACACCCATAAACTCAAACCTTTTCTGCCCTCAGAACCTTGCTACATTGAAAGACGCTTTGAATTCTCACAGTAAGATCACACCTTGAGAGTTAGCACCATTTGGGTTGCAGCAAACACTTTGCTTTCATATGTAAAACTTTCCTTATATTTACCATCCTTATATTTAAATTGGTTCTTCCCTACTCAGGTCGTTTCCTTCATATTCATTCCTAGAAGAGTTTCTAGGACACAGATATGTTGGACTCTGCCCTGGCATTGGCTTCCCTTCTAGCAGTAGCTCGTGTTCTTCCTAAACATCTGGTGGGGGTCGTTCTCCCCATAGTCCGCTCAGAACTTGGGCTCCTCTGAGTGTACCAGGGAACACTTGGAACAGAGCTGACCTCATCCCCATCTGCTGAGGGAATGAGGCATCAGGCTACAGGGTAACGTGCTTCTCAGATTTCCAGGAGCACACGGTCACCTAAGGTTTCCTGCTAAACAGTGTACAGTGCAGACGGGGACAGGGCTGACTGTTTCGGTCATTTGCCCAGGCTTTGGATAGTGCTGGGCTTGTGGTCAGCCTAGAGCAGCAGCCGCCTTGGACCTCATCCTGAAGCACACTTTACAGCATTCAGGGGAGAAGAGGGAGATGAGAAGAAAATCAATTAGATCTTGGCCCAAGATTAGCATTTTTCACAGTTAAGGACCTGTGAAAGCAGACCTGTCTAAGCAGCAGAACAAGCTGCTGTATCCTGGATGCAGACGATGAAGCAATACAGCTTCCTCCCAGTGATAGGAAACAGGACTGCAGTCTCTACCTGCTTGAATTTTAGCAGATGGTCTAGCTTCTACAAGAGACATTTCAATAAAAAAAAAAAATTGTCTGTGTGTGTGTGTACCTACGTTTTTGTGTGCATTTGTTTGAACAGTGTATGTAAATATAAAACTATGTGCATTTTATGATCAGAGTAAGTGCATTTTGAGCATCTATTTTCTTCTGCAAAATTGGAATAGTGCCCAGGCTGGTGTGGGAAGCACCCTAACAGGGCTAGGGGCTGGGTGGTGCAAGGGGGATTGGGCCAGGAAATGGGATGTTGCTGTCACCAGAAGGTGACAGTGCACTGTAATCTTTTCACACACTTCAGCCCTCTTCTTGTTCAGTCTATGGACAAATACAGGAAGCTTTCTCAAGGCACCCTTGGAGTAAAAACACAGGTATTGTGTATATGAGCAATCTGTGGAAGCAAATTGCATATTTCCACAGACTGGCATCCTTCAAATAAAACCTTTTCACATACCTAACTCGGTTCCTCTCAAATTGTAGTCATTTATACAACCTCCTTTTACTGTTTCAGCCACAACCACATTATTTGTGAGTATGGCTCATTTAACGTATTTTATGTTGATCTTAAGGCAACTCACTTCTTTGCATAGCCCCAGTTCTTGCATATCAAAAGTCTGAAAACACAAATTTTTGTGCTCATTACATTTTTCTGTACTATGCATAAAATAAATTCCTAACTACGAAGTTAAAAACATTCTTCCACATTCCATCTCAGAATTGCCCGTGGGCCACCTGTGGAATGTCCACACACCTGGCTCTCTGTTTTGACCAACTCCAACCTTTTCTTTTAATTTATTCACTTGGCTAGAATTGAGCTGAGCTCTTAGCAGTGGACCCTTACTGCTTTTCTGACAATAATGGTATTTGTTGTTGACCCTGAACTGTCCCGTCTCCCACGGAACACATGCTGTTTGAAAGCTTGGCTGTGGTAAACATGGATGCACAGGCATGCACACTTCTCCTCTGTCTTCACACTCACCAAATCCTGCTTTTTGGAGGCTCATTTTCTCTTCTGTCTGTCTGTCTGTCTTTCTGATCTCTGTTGAGCCTCGTTTGCTCCTGTCTCTTCTCTGCAGTGCCTGCAGTGTGACAGCACTGTGTTGGGTGGTCCCTATGCTGTCTGCCATGAGATACCTAGCAGGAATTCTCAGGAAACTCCTTCTGGGGTTCCAGTTATTTTCCGTAGACCTCCACTCCTCTTCAAGGGTACTGCTCCACAGAAGTCGAGGCCCATTTCTTTCTCTTAGGGGTAAATCTGTGCCAGTGTTTACGGCCCTGTGTTGTCATTGGCCTTCTTTTGAGAGGACAGTTGAAAGTCACATTGAAAGTTCATAGTTCTTAGCACCCTCACTTCTGACTCATGGAAGTGTCTGGTGGAAGTGTCTCATGAGCTAGATGCAGCTCATAGACATACATTTCATTTTCCAGGAGGAGGAAATTTTTCCTCCTACATGGGTGGACCAATGCACCCAGGCCCCTACATATGACTTTTGGCTTCCATTTTCCACATCTAAACAGAGGCTGCATTTATGGTGACAGCAGCCTCTTTGCAGAATGAAGGTCCAGGGAGTTTCTCCTGCTCTGACCTTGGTAGAGCAGTCAGTCTGAAGGCTTAGACACGATGTGGTGGAAGTAGGACTAGGGACGACATGGACATAGCTGTCACTCAAGAACTGTGGAAAAGAACAAAGGGAGTGATGAGATTTAGAAGCCACTATAGCAAGATACACAGATCTTCAGACACCCACTGGATGGTACAGTGGCAAGGGGAGGGACTAGCAAGCAGAGTTGTCTGTAACTGGTCAAGGAGTGTCTTGTGAAAGGGGAGATTTTGAGAAAGATACTGAAGAAAACGAGGGTTCCAATCTGGGAAAAGACTTGAAAGAGGTCTGTGATACAAAACTGCCTGAGCAGAGCTGTAAGTTGTAGTGGAGCTGTGGAAAGACAGTTTCCCCATGTTGAACGTAGACGACAGTTCCCCCATAAAATTTCGTCCTCTCTTTATCTATGCTTGCTGTATAGAAATATGTAACTTATTAAAATAGTTTTTTTCCCATGCAGGTCCCTGTGTATAATGCCATCATTTTAACCTTAAAATTATATGACAGAGGTAATGTTGCTATTTTTCAGATGGGGAAATAAGATTTATAATCAAGGAGGCCCTCAGGGTTACCCACAATAAAGTAGGAAATTTTTACCCAGTCACCCTCCCTCAAAGGTCTACCACTCATGACCCAGATTTCCAGTTCCAATCTGTGGGATAGATCCTAGGAGATATGACTTGATTAGGGAGGACTATTGTAGCTTAATCTGGAAGACCAAGTGTCTGCTGTTCTTCTCATGGATCTGAAAGTTAAATTGCATTAGGCTGTAACTAGTATGGAAGAATGAATGGATATATTTAATAAAGAACCCCCGAGACCAAACTCTATTTGAGCTTCATTCAGTAACAATGATAGCTCAAGTAATGTGTCAGCCGTCATGCTAAGCCCATCCTTATTCCTTCTCATACCTCTAACTGATAAGCCTATGAGGTAACACTCAGCAGCCAATCATAGGCAGTGAACCTGAGGTGAGACTTTAAGCAGAGAGCACGTTTGTCA